ATTTCAATTGTATCCACCGAATTTGTCAACTTTTCTATCTGCTTTTGAAGGATATTAAAAATACCCCACGCTTGCTCCTTAAAGCTTAAGAAGGCTCTAGAGATATCGCTGATGGATCCATGCTGTGTTGAACCTTCTTTAGATACTGTCATATATAGATGTGGGTACTTACTTTTATACTTTGTTGATTAATAAAGTATATTAATGTAGGTAGGTACAATATCTTCTTTACATAAAGTGATACAAGCTACATAGCACGTTTTATTTAAAATACTATATCTTGAGGACATATTAGTGGCGACGTAGTGTAAAAGTACTAAAATGGACACAAAAGCTGTGAAATTCGATGAGTTTAATCCTCAAACGGACAATTGGGACATATATTTTGACCGGCTAAAATTTTGTTTCGAGGCAAATGGCGTCATTACGGATTCGTCTAAACGAGCAAATTTCTTTACTGTGTGTGGATCACCAGTGTTTGAAACGTTACTAGCATTAATTACACCTAGAAAAACGAGTGAAGTGACATTTTTGGAAATAGAAACTATTCTAAATAAACATTACAGCCCGAGACCGAACGAAATATCGGTTTCGTTTCAATTTTATAAACGTGATCAAAAACATAATGAATCAGTGGCAGATTACATTGCTCACCTGAGAAAACTTAGTCCGGGTTGCAATTTTGTCGATTTGGAACGTATGCTACGCGACAAACTCGTGTGTGGTATGCGTGATGACTACTACTAACTACTGAAACGGGACAAATTACGCTATCAAGACGTAGTGGATGCTATGTTATCATCGGAAAGTGCGGGGCGAGATGTACGCATGATTCAAGTGTCTGCTGGCGCGACCGCGGCGGACGACACAACCATGCCCGGTCCCTCTCGCGGATCCGGCGGAACGTCATTTTTGGGTTCAGAACCGATGGATATTAACGCTGTCCAGTCAAGAGCTTCCATTCGTTTTTGCTACCGATGTGGTAACCGGCACAATGGACAATGCAGATTTTTAAATGCCATTTGTAGCTACTGTAAGAAGAAGGGTCACCTTGAGAAGATTTGCATTAGTAAAAAAAGAAAAGCAAAACTAATACTGTTAATTTCGCTGAAGAATCAGATGACTGTTTGAATGGAATTTACTGTATGTCAAGTGTGAGTCGCACGCCGCCTTATGAAGTGATAGTTTCACTGGCTGGAGTGCCAGTCTGTATGCAATTGGATACAGGAGCAAGCTATTCTATAATAAAGGAGCAAACTTGGCACAAACTTTGCACACAGATGCCACAAGTCGTACTGCGACCTAGCACATTGTCATTACGAACATGGACAGACACACCGGTCCAAATACTCGGTCAAGTAACACTGCCTGTATGTTATAAGGATGTGTCACAAAATTTGTGTGTTATTGTGGCCAAGGGGAATGGACCAAACCTGCTTGGTCGAGACTGGCTTGCTGCTTTTAACATTACAATGAATATTAATTTTGTATCAAATACGGATATCAAAGCAATAGATGCAATCCTATCTAAACATAAGGAAGTTTTCAAAAATGGACTCGGTACCTACCGTGGACAGCCTGTGACTATACATGTGAAACAATGAGCAACTCCAAAGTTCCTTAAAGCTCGTCCGGTGCCATTCGCTATAAAACAAAGCGTTGAAATTGAGATTGCTAGATTAGAAAGTGAAGGAGTATTACGCCAAACGTCTTTCTCAGATTGGGCTATACCGGTAGTGCCAATAATAAAAAAGTCAGGGGAGATAAGGTTGTGTGGAGATTATCGCAGCACCGTAAATGAGGCAACTGAATCTGATACCTATCCTATGCCTACAGCGAATGAAGTGTCTGCTGCAGTTGCTGGTTGTAAATTTTTCACCACCTTGGATTTAGATCGGGCGTATACCCAGGTTATGGTAGATGAGAAGACTTCAAAACTCCTTACTTTGAATACTTGCAAGGGCCTTTACACTGTACATCGCCTGGCCTTCGGTGTTAAAGCATGCCCCGGAATTTTTTAACGTTTGATGACATCTTTACTGGGTGGTATCGTAGGTATCGCTGTTCTAATTGATCACATAATAATCGGGGGTCATACTTTGCTGGAAATGCAAGAACGACTTAACGAAGTACTAGGAAGAATTGAACTTGCAGGACTACGTCTAAATAAAAACAAATGCAAATTCGGCCAAGAAAGAGTGGAGTTTCTAGGCTTTGTAATTGATGGGAATGGCATCCATCCTTTTTTTTTTTTTTTAACGTGTGGAAAAATCTTCAAAAGACCGTCACCCCGCCGGAGGGATGGCGAGGTGGTGTGTGGGACTTGTACCCACTAAAAAACCACACGGTGTACCTACGAGCGCCTATGCCGGAGCCAGGGGATTCGCAAGTGCATTCTACCCCAGCTCCGACGGCGACGGCCCGCCCTGTAGATGTTGTAGGGCAGGCCCCATCTCGTTATGTGGTTAGGGCGACCTATTTCGCCCTACTCCATTGTAGAGGCGTGTGGGTACACGCGCACACATCCGGGGCCTTTGGATTGGGGGACTGCCTCCCTCAAGGCAGTCACCCCGGCCCCAGTGGGGGATAGAGGGGGGCGGAGTTGGATACGCCCCCATCTCTAGGCCTGGTTCTTCTGCGGCGGAGGGAAGCGGGACGAGCTGACTCCCGCTCCCTTTCCGCCGCCTCCTTCCGCGAGATAACTTCCTCGCAGAAGGAGCTCACCGCCAGCCACGATCTCTCGCTACTGACCATCCTCCGAACTAAATTCGGCAGCGAGAGATCGTCCCCCACTATTCGTGTGAGGACACGGCGCTCACTCACGAACGCTGGGCATTCTTCCAGCGTGTGTTGCGCCGTGTCCTCAACACCTCCGCATTCGTGGCAGCCGGTCGTCGGCTCCTTCCTCGCCACATGACACAGATACCGCCCGAAGCAACCGTGCCCGGACAATATCTGTGTCATGCGGTACGGCAGTGGCCATCTCCTATTCATCCACCGTTTGAGGATGGGACGGACAGCCTCGACGGTCCTCAGGCCGGCTGACGGGCTCATTAGCCTTGCCCGCCATTCGATCCTGAGGATCCGCCGAAAGTCGGACCTCCGCGCTTCGATCTCATGACCAGCGGGTGCCTCCCCATGGAACGTCGCTCCGCGCGCCAGTGGTACACTGACGCGTGGAGCTCCGCTACCAAGTCCCACGGAGGAGACCTCGCCAGCAGACCCGCCGCTTCCCCGGATATGGTGCGGTAGCCTCTTATGGCCCGTATGGCCATGACCCTGTGTGGCCTGTTGAGGCAGGCCACATTTTCCCTACCTAGGGCCCCCACCCAGATGGGGGCCCCGTACAGGGCCATGGACCGCACCACGCCGAGGTATAGGCGGCGGGAACCTTCTCCCGGGCCCCTCACATTTGGCAGCAGCCAGCTAAGAGCGCCGGCGGCTGCCATAAGGCGAGGGACCAGGTTCCGGAAGTGAGCGCGGAAGCTCCAACGACTGTCCAGGTCAAGCCCCAAGTATCGAATACAGGGCTTGACCCCCACCCTCTGGCCACTGACGACCAGCTGGGCATCCGGAGGTGGCGCACGCCGAGGCCCATGAAAACACAGGCCCTCGGTCTTCTCCAGCGCCACCTGGAGCCCAAGCCTTCTTATACGACCGACGACCAGCGCCACGCATGCCGTGGCAAAGCGGGTAGCCTCCAGTAGGTCCCGCCCCCGGGCAGTGACCAAGGTGTCATCCGCGTAACCCACGAGGTCAGTGCCCGTTAAAAGGGCGCCCCGCAGGTTCCAATCATACCCGATGTTCCACAGGATCGGGCCCAGAACCGACCCCTGTGGAACACCGCGTTGCATTTCCCTCGGCACTACAACGCCGTTCCGCCCCGTGCATAGCACAGACCTGTCTTCGAGATAGGCCCCGATCACGTCCCGAATGTAGGGAGGCGCGCGATGGTACTTCAACGCCTCCCTAATAGTCGCAAAGGGCAGGGTGTTGAAGGCGTTCTTAATGTCTAGAGAGACCGCCAACAACACCCCACCCTGGGACGTCGCCTCTTCCGAGAGGGAGCGCACACGCGAGATCGCGTCTATCGTCGAGCGCCCCTCTCGGAACCCGAACTGCTTCGGGCTGAGATCGGGACCTACCTGAGACAGGTGTTGGACGAGTCGGCCCGCCAAGATTCTCTCGAAGAGCTTGCCGATCTCGTCCAACAGCACTATGGGGCGGAACGCCGAGGGAACCACCGAACCTGCGGGGTGCTCCGCTTTGCGGAGCAGGACCACTCTACCCGCTTTCCACTGATTGGGAAACCGTCCCGACTCCAGACACGCATTGAACAAGCGCCGGAGTCGGTCCCCTAGGGTGTTTAGGGCCAAGGCCAGGACGCGGCCGTGGATACCATCCGGACCCGGGGCGACATTCTTGCCCCGGAGTTTATCCACGGCCGCGGCGAACTCCTCCACGGTGAATGGCATCCATCCTGCACCAAGTAAGGTTGAATCTATTGCAAATACTCTTGAACCTAAAAACAAACGAGAACTACAAGCTTTTCTTGGTCTTTATAATTTTTATGAGAGGTTCATACCTCATAAAGCCACTTTATTGGAGCCTTTACATCGTTTGCTGGATACCCGGCAAGAATGGCATTGGACTGAACGGGAACAAAATTCATTTGAGACGGCAAAGCGATTATTGACATTTGATTTAACGTTAGTACATTATGACGTAGCTAAACCTATAACACTTACTTGTGATAGTTCAGAATATGGTGTAGGAGCTGTATTGTCATATGTAACAGATAATAACGAATTTCCTATAGCTACGGCATCTAGAACTTTACATCCTCATAAACGGCGTTATTCACAGCTTGACAAAGAAGCCGCTTCAATTATGTTTGGCATAAAAAGTTTCATAACTATCTCACAGGAAGACAATTCTGTATAACAACAGACCACAAACCATTGCTTGGTATATTTGATCCGAAGAAGCCACTGCCTAATATGATTTCACCACGGTTGACGAGAATTGCCATAGCCTTGACATCTCATAACTATGAGATAAAATATAAGCCTGGTCCAGAGATAGGTAATGCTGACCATTTAAGTCGTTGGCCACAACCAGTACAAAGTGAACCTCAAACACATATTGGTGAGGTTTTGTTAATGGCTGAAGCTCCAGAAGATTTTCCATTTGATGCAGAAGATATAGTTAGAGAGACAAATCGGGATAAAATCTTATCTAAAGTTATTTATTACATACAAAGGGGATGGCCTGCAAAAGAAACCGACGCTGATTTACGACCATTCTGGTTACATCGCACAGAACTGTCACTGCAAGAAAATTGCATACTTCTGGGATGCCGCGTCGTACCTCACACTCTTCGTCGAGCAACGCTCCAAATACTACATAAAACACATACCTGTATAGTTCAAACGAAAGCACTGGCTAGAAGCTACGTTTGGTGGCCTGGACTATGTAAATGATGACATAGAACTTCTAGTTGGTGGTTGTGTTAGGTGCTTGGAAAATCGACATATGCCTCCTAAGACTACACATGAATGGATTACACCTTCGAGACCTTGGTCAAGAATCCACATCGATTTCGCTGGACCGTATCACAACAAATATTTTTTAATTATAGTCGACGCATATTCCCGATGGCCTGAAGTATTCATGGTATATAATACAACAACAGCCACGGTAATACGATTGCTGAGAACGACCTTTGCAACTCATGGTCTATGTGAAGTTTTAGTATCGGATAATAGTACATCGTTTGTATCAGGAGATATGAAGCATTTTTTGCAGGCCAATAAAATTCGTCAGGTAACTACAGCACCTTACCATCCGGCGACCAACGGATTAGCAGAACGGATGGTACAGACAGTCAAAGATAAACTAAAGAAAATGAATGATTTATCTTGGGATATCAAAATTCCGAATTTATTGTTAGGTTTGCGGGTTACTCCATGTACAGGAACCAATAAAACCCCCGCAGAACTATTAATGAATAGACAGTTGCGCACATTGTTAGATACTATACATCCAGATAATCTGAAACATAAACAACAAACAGAAATACAAATTGACAACAATAAACAGATAGCAGGCAGAGAAACTACTGTGGGACAAAATGTAATGTTCAGAAATTATAGCCATCAGGGCCCTAAATGGTTACCAGGCAAAGTCTTGCAGAAAAGTGGGCCTTCCAATTACAAAATTGAAACAGAGGAAGGTGTAGCAGTTAATCGGCATATTGATCAGTTGATTAAATATAAACCAAGGCTAGAGAAAGGGGAAGAAGGGATTACTGATATAACGTCAGAGGCAAATAAAGACTCTAATAGCACAGATAGTAGTGGTACGAATTACCAACAAGAGCAACAGGAAAATAGTAGTCAAGAGTCAGAGACAATTATTGAAATACCAGATCCCATCAAAAACATAAATGTGAAATGATAGCCGAGTTTAATATTATGATATATGCCTTGATTGTTGACTTCTACGACAAAAGAGATGAGATCTAAATGGGTGCCAAGTTCAATGGTCTGTCCTGAAATGTATTTATAACAATATAAAATGTCATTTCTTCTTATAACTTAGGATAATATACTGTAGCCTAAGTTCTAACTTGGCCAGTTCTCATATACCAATTATTACTTTCGATTGCTAGTTACTACTAATATTAAAATAGGAACCGACAAGTAACATGATTAGAACTTGCGAAGGCTACAGTATGTTTCGTATATGAAAACTAGCCAAGTTAGACCTTAGGCTACAGTATATTATCCTAAGTTATAAGAAGAAATGATATTTTATATTGTTATAAATACATTTCAGGACAGACCATTGAACTTGGCACCCATTTAGATCTCATCTCTTTTGTCGTAGAAGTCAACAATCAAGGCATATATCATAATATTAAACTCGGCTATCATTTCACATTTATGTTTTTGATGGGATATCATTACTTTTTGTACATAAATTATACGAGGTCCTTATTTATAACTAAATTAATACCAAATTATTTTTGATAAATTACTGTATTTTCGTATATTTACGGGTGTTTTAACACTCTAGAAGTATTATACAAATAAAAGACGTACCAAGGTTAATTGACAATTTAATTTTTGCATTACAATGAATACATGTAATGATCAAAACGAAACTATAGCGCGTTTTAGAATTGACACAGCGCCATCTAGTATTTCATACTGTAAACTATTACGGCCAATACTTATTACAATTTGTACATACCGCCCACCATGGACAACTACAGTACTTTAGTTGTTCATCACTACAAAAAAATAAAATTAACATACAAAATCAACAATATTAAAGGTGAGCGAATAGACAAACAAAAATGCTGTAAAAATATTACAAAACATGAGTAGAAATTAACATACTTAACAAAATTACTTTAAGCTTAATTAAACAATAACAAATTCTGACAAATTGACAGATTTACTTAGAAAATAGACTGCCATTGCAAATCAACTTATTCTGTTACAGGCAGTAAACATATTTTAGATAATGGTCTTTTAATAATATTACCCTTACATTTAAGACTAACAACGCGTGTAATCTTGTCCAAACCTTCATGTTTATCAATTATTATACCAAACAACCATTTAGCAGGTGGTAAATCGTCCTCCCTTACCAACACTACATCACCAATATTTGGTTCTTGAATGAGATGTTTCCATTTACGACGATGAAAGAATTGAGTAATGTAATCTTGCGACCAACGTCGCCAGAAATGTTGCAACATCCTTTGTGTTAGTTGCCAACGTTTGAGATTACTAAGGTTGCAAGCTTCATAATTTGAATCAGGAGCTACAACTAAGGGCTCTCCTACCAAAAAATGCCCTGGGGTAAGTGCATATGGTTCACCAGGGTTGTTACTAATCTGAGAGAGTGGCCGGGAATTTAAACAAGCTTCCACTTGGGTCAGGACTGTTGCCATTTCCTCATATGTAAGTGTGGAGTTTCTAATTACGCGCTGAAGATGGTATTTTGTGGACTTTATCCCTGCTTCCCAGAGTCCACCAAAGTTTGGAGCGCGGGGAGGGATAAAATGCCACTTAGTGCCATTGCAAGCAAGTGAATTTGCGATTTCTGTCGCTATCGCTAGCAGACCTTTCTGTAAAAAAAAGTGATTTAAGTTCTCTAGCGGCACCTATAAAATTCGTACCGTTGTCACTCCATATATCGGCACAATGTCCTCGCCTTGCTACAAAGCGCTTAAAAGCTGCCAAGAAACCCTGAGTGGTTAAGTCACTCACTGCCTCCAGGTGAACAGCTTTAGTAGCCATGCAGATGAAAAGACATATATAACCTTTATAGGAGTGATGACCTCTACCCTTACTAGTACGAATGCTGATAGGACCGGCAAAGTCTACACCGCTACGAAAAAAAGGTCGGCAAGCTGTAACTCTTACCGAAGGAAGTTGACCCATTAGCTGATGTTTTACAATAGATCCATGACGAATACAAACAACACATTTACGAACGTACAATTTAACCATATTTTTAACGTCTATAATCCAATACTTGGTTCGCAAGTAATTTATCATGAGCTGAGGTCCACCATGAAGAGTTCTGGAATGAGCCTCAGCAATTAATAAATGAGTAAAATGAGATTTCTTAGCAATGAGGATAGGATGTTTCATTTCTTCAGACATTTGAGAATACTGTAATCGTCCACCAACTCGCAAGACACCAACATCATCAACAAATGGACTGAGAGAGGTAAGTTTGCTTTTATTATTAAGTTTTCCAGATTTTTCTAAATTATACAGATCTTCTTGAAAATATATAGATTGATGTTGTCGGATACATACATTCAAAGCTTCAGTATATTCTTCATTACTAACATATTTGTTTTTCTTTTCAGGTTGGAGAGCAGTTCGTGAAAGAAGAAATCGTCTACATAGAGCAACAACTCTGACCAGTTTGCGCAATGATGGGTATTTATTCCATAGACTAAATTCCTCGGTTGTAGTTGCATAGCATACCTTGTTTGTTTTCTCTTCTAAATTTGTATCATTTACCTCTTTGTTTTTATAAATAATATTTTCTAATTTCAGCCAAAGTGGTCCTGTGCTCCACAAATCATTTTGATAATCCTGAGGCTTGACTCCTCTGGAGGCACAATCCGCAGGGTTGTCCTTTGATTGGACATGTGACCACTGGTTACTATCAAGAACCGTTAGTATTTCTGAAACCCGATTAGCAATGAAAGTCTTCCACCTACTCGGATGACTTCTTAGCCAAGTGAGTACAACCGTTGAATCGGTCCAAGCATGAATATTTTCTTTAGGTACAGTAAGAACCGTTGACACTTCCAGGAGCAGTTTCGCGAGCAAGACGGCGCCACACAGTTCGAGTTTGGGAATGGATATCTGTTTAACCGGAGCAACTTTGGTTTTAGAGGTAAGTAAATTTACATGTATTACACCATTTCTACTAACTATACGTGCATAAACTACAGCAGCGTATGCCACATTTGACGCGTCACTAAAACCATGTAATTCAACTAACTTGTCATCGGCCTTCGAGTTAATCCATCTAGGAATTTGTAAATTTGTAAGTAAACATAATTCGTTTCTGTATATAATCCACTCTTTTAATAACTGAGATGGAAGTTCTTCATCCCAATCGATTCTAGAAAGCCAAAGCTTCTGTATGAATACTTTAGCAGTTATAATGGTGGGTGCGATCCAGCCAAGAGGATCAAACAATCGTGCAACATCCGATATAACCTTTCTTTTAGTGACAGGTTCGCTCAGTGGCGGCAACTGAACGGAGTATTCGAAGACATCAGAGCGTCGATTCCATGTAAGTCCAAGTACCTTCATTACTGAATCTATTTTTAGTTCTAGATTACCTAATTTATCCTCGTTTCCTTCCTTTATCTTTTCTAGCAAACTTTCACTATTGCTACACCATTTCCTGAGTTGAAATCCTACTGAGCCTAGTAACATCTTCATATCTTTATAGACCCTTTGACCTTCTTCAACGTTCTGACAACCGGTCAACAAGTCATCCATATAAAAATCCCTGAGGACTCTTTCAGAAACGTGTGGATATTTATTACCCTCATCAATAGCAACCTGCTGTAAGGCCTTTACCGCTAGATGAGGTGCGGCAGCAGTCCCAAAAGTAACTGTGAGTAACCTATAATGTTGTAAGTCATCTTTTTGATTATCTGGATTACGCCACAAGATACGCTGAAAGTTTGTATCTTCAGGAAAAACCTTCACCTGTCTATACATTTTAGTTATGTCTGCCACTAGACATATAGGATACAATCGCCAGCGCATGATAAGATGTCTCAGATCGGACTGAAGAGTCGGACCAACCATTAGATCATCGTTCAAGGATACACCGTTGCAATCTTTGCACGAAGCATCAAACACAACGCGTGTTTGAGTAGTACTTTTATCTTCTCTGATGACCGGATGATGTGGCAAATAAACAGCGTTTTTGGTATCCCGTTCATCATCAGGTACAAGCTCCATATGACCCAAATCTAAGTAGTCCTTTATGACATTTGAATAATCCATCTTTAACTTAGGATTTTTTAATAATCTCTTTTCTAACAAATAAAACCTACGAGCTGCTATATCTCGAGAATTACCATACATACAAGTTGGATTTTGATCACGAAATGGTAATTTGACAACATACCTACCGAATGAATCTCGTTTGGTAGTGGCGACGAACAGTTCCTCACATCTCTGCTCTTCAGGCGTGAGATGTTTACGATTCAGATTGGAATTGTCTGATTCTAACTCTCAAAATTTACGTAGGAGTTCGTTTTCATTACAATGAGAATGCAAACTAACAATTGAGTAACAACACTCTTTCTCATTGTTACCAGAAGATTCTATCTCTCCTGACAATATCCAACCTAACTTGGTTTTTTGAGCAACTAATGATTGAGATGATCCCCTAATAAGACCCTCTTCCAAGATCATTCCATAAACTTTAGCACCCAATAACAAGTCAATCTTGTTGGGTGTGGTGTACGTAGGATCTGCTAAATCTGATTTAGACAGTTCTGTTAATACTGGTAAGACAACCTTTCGTTCTGGAAGAAAAGTAGTTAGCTTCTTTAAAACATGAGCCTTTACATCAACAACAAAGTTGGGGTCATGGAGTGATTGAATTTTTAAAAACACTACAGACTTAGAGGTCAAAGAACCAGCCTGATCACTTCCTAGCCCTGATATTTGACTTCTGCTTGAATATTTCTTTAACCCAAGAAGCTGAACTGCTGCTTCAGTAATAAATGAAGCCTGCGAACCTTGGTCTAACAACGACCTGAGGGTGATATTCTTTCCAGTCTTTGAAACAATTTTAACTAAAGCGGTGGCCAATAACACTTGGGTGTCAACCCTAGAAAAACATGCTACGACATTTCTAGCTTCGTCTTGTGTTGCTGATGTCGTTGGTACGACGACATCACTATTAACCGATTGATCACTACCTACTTCATTATCGGCTGATTGTACTATACTTCTAGGATGTAGTAATGAATGATGTCTTTTCTTACATATTTTACAACGAGTGGTTTGTTGGCATGAGTAAACCGAATGCTTAGAACCTAGACAATTATAACATAAACTGTTGGTTTGAGCAAAAGTACGCCGCGTGTCTATGTCTGCTTTTGCAAATTTTTTACATTTGTAAATCTTATGGTTTTCATTACAATAAGCACATGAAAATACTGTAGTTACATGAAGTGATTTTGTATTATATTGAGTGCGATTAGAATAATTTACTTTTACAGATCTGTTATCTAAAAATTCTAACGATCTAAATCTACTCTCAAGAAAACTTTTAAATTGTGTTAGAGAAGGTAAGTCATCACCAGTTTCACTAATTTTTACTTCCCATAATTTTCTAGTTTCAGTATCCAATTTTAAACTAACTATATAAATTACAATGATATCCCACGAAGTTACATTAATGCCTAAATTTATTAATGCATTTATACACTCATTTGTTGTATCCAAAAGCTCTTTTAGACCAGTAGATGACTCTGACGTTACATTTTTTTGACTCATGAACCTCTTTAAAATACAATTAGCAAGATACCTTTTGTTGTTGTAACGTTTCTCAATAAGATCCCAACATACTTTATAATTACTCTGTGTAATAGGAACGTGACGTAGTAATTGTTCTGGTTCTCCAGAGAGATGGCTTTTTAAATAATGTAAACGTTGTACATCGTCTAACGTCTTATTGTTATGTACCAAAGACAGAAACAAATCTCTGAAACTAACCCACTCTAAATATTGTCCTGAGAATACAGAATGGAAATTCTAGATAATTTTACTATGAGA